GTCCCCTGGGTTCAATTTGTTATATCCCATATGGCCCACATCCAAAAGTAGCACACTCCTAGTAGTTTGGTCTAGACAGACAGTATGTCACTGATAGCCATATATCTGTTACAGACTGTGGTGGGAAATGTTTAACTTGGGTCAGATGGCAGGAACAAACAGCCTATGTCTAATAATGCTGCATCCAGCACTAAATGTACCAAGTTCCCAAGCGAGACTCAGGTCCTGACTCATCCTGCTGACAAGAAATCAGCTGAGCACACAGAAACTGGAGTCATGTAAGTATACTGCAATAAAATAGTGAGCATGCTGCTCAGAAATGATTAAGCTGAAGCATTATTGCTGTCATACGCATAAGCTTTCTTGATTGTTTTTTCTGTTTTTAGACCATTTGAAAAGGGCAGCTGACCTTTAAGGCATTTTTCCAACAGGCAGTGCGGTACAACATGGTCCAGTTACAAACCTGTGATCACACATTTTGTCATTTCAATTGCTGAGTGAACTTTCCCGTAGTGGAGAACCTGTGCTGAATTGGGTTATCTTTCTTGCCGAGTACCAAACTGATAACCCTACTATGCTGTGCTGCATTGCTTGATGCCAAAGAACAGCCTTTATTTTGTTTCATGACATTTCATGACAAATGGACCAATATTACTTGGAATCAAATCTTATTACATGAATACAGGGCTGTCTAATCCTGGTCCTGGAGATCTACCATCCTGCAGAGTTCAGCTCCAACTTCAGTCTAACACACTTGATTCAGGTAATAAAAGCCTTTAGGGACATCTGATTAATAAAGCCGGGTGTGTTGCATCTGACCTCTCCAGGGTGGTAGATCTTCAGGGCAAGGATTGGGCACCCCTGCATTAATAGAACCTAAAGTGGTGAGAACATTTTTTTCCCCATTTAGAAAGTTACAAGGATTTGTTAAGGATTTGTTGCAACAATATGTTGGCAGGATTACATTACTGTCACCTGAAATGTCCTTTGAAGTCCTAATATTTAACCCACAACACATCCCTCAGGTAAGTCTGTAACTGCCCATTATTAAACAGATAGTTGCAGTCCTAAAATCTGATTGGCTGAGCTGCATTCAAAGCTGTTGTAAAATCCACGATATATGCACACCTATGACCGCCATGTACTGATGAAATAAGAACCTGTTTTCGTTTAAACAGAGGGGCTGAAAAGTTACTTTCTTAATTAGAACTAGGCTGGTCAGCTAGTTAACAGGCTAACACATAGCCAACAGCCTAAATAACTTCACCATGAATATCACAGGCTTGAAATAAAGTATTTAGAATTTTTTAACCGTAAAACAGCAGTATAAAAGTCTAAAAATGTCACTTGAATGGATTACAAGCTTCAAAAGTTCATGCTTCAGTCAGAAGTAGTGTTAAACCCAGGCTCTGTACTCCCTAAATAGTGTGCTGGCTATGAAAGTTTTCGGTGCAGGATCCAGTATTCAAATTCCTACGTAGTGCACTTTATAGGGAGCAGCGAGCTTGAAATTCAGCCCCAGCGCAAGAAGAGGGGCGCCACTAGATTGGCGCTAAATAAGACTCTGTGGTAATTTGGAGACCAAAAGTACTTATAAAGCTAAAGCATTAAACACTGCTGTGTTATCACATGTTCATTGTTATACAAGAAAAATACAAGAAAAGTTAAAAAGTGCATGAAATGACTGCAGTACACAGTGATGGGCAACTGAATGTTCTTCTCCTTATTCAGCAGGTTGCTTGGCAATGATACCATATTCTAAATGAACTACATTTCTTGCTGGAATACTTGTTGAAGACGATTATTATTCATAATAACATTATTTTCTGAAAAATTGTGTATTTTATCATATTTTACGTTAACTGCCATTTTATAAAAGCAATAAACCACTTGAGGCTCTGCTGCGCAACGTGCCTAAGAACACCCTTCCTCGTGATAAAATCGCAGTAACGCACTGCCTCGTGGCTTACTGCTTTATTAAACCATCTGGATGCATTTAGAAGCATCTAAATAACCTTTTATTTGGAGACAGAAAATAAATCCACACCCACGCTGAGATATATATTTGTGTTTGTAGCTTTATATTGAAATTTTACGGAAGTATACACAATGCAACCTACACTATTACCATGTCCATATGTATGTAATGTTGGATGAGGGTACATTTTGGCATGTAATACATGAGACAGCAGTTTGACATTTAGGACAAAATATTAAAGCAAAAAAAGAAAAAGTAATTATCTGTAACACAGTACTATTAGGCAACATTAGTACAGTTACCATGGAGAGGAAATACAAAATAAACATAAAAAAAAACTTTATGCTTCTTATGTACAAGCCAGTGCCTCTTGGAATGACCCCATTGTTTGTTTGATTTTTTCTCAGGGTACAAGGGCTTTCCTCTGACATCAACAAAAACTTGAGCAAGCCATATCCCATTATAAATATTCTGTAAGGTGCAAACCTACAGAGTGTTCTTTACACAGCCTCCTCTTTCACTCATATACACACACATTCACCCATTCACTCACACACACACACACACACACACACACACACACACACACACACACACACACACACACCCCAACAGGGTCATACAATATATCGTTTGTTAACGGTTACCGTGACATTAGTCTTTGCAATATAGATACTGCAAAAGGCTACAATATGCAAATGAGCCTCTAACCAATCACATCGTTCTTCACTGTGTGCTGTGAGCATCCTGACCAATCACAGTTCCAGATGATTGTTTTTGTGAATGTTTTAATGAATCAAGATATTCATATAATCCAACAAAAGGCCCAATCTGTAGCAATGTCAGAACAGTGATAAATGTGTTTTTTAATATGTTGTAAAGGTGTATTGTAATTACAATATAGGGATGCATGACCAGAATCATGTCAGTATCAGCAGAAGAACAATTTAAAATCATAAAAAAATCAGCATCAGACAGATGTTTACATTTGACTGATATTTCAAACCAATATTTGATGATGTATTTATTATACTCTGGAAGGGCAGAATGTTTAGGTGACACAGGTCTACTGCACTAAAATATCTGTATTTTGTTCATTTTACTATTGTACCCCTACAAAAAATAAACGTTATGTTTCTCTGTAATGCTAATCCAGGTAGATTTAGCCCCAGTTTCTACATTTCATAAAAGTTTACTGTGCAAAAGTCAGAGACTACCCTTCATTTATTTATTTTTGAGTCAAAACAGCCATTAAGTATTTCATTCATTCAAGTTATTCACTTGCATAAGGAAGGAGAAAGTTAAAGGAAGATGAGAAAAACGTAACTTTCCAAAACTGGAATTCAAAATATGATCAAAAGTTACAGTTAAAGTGGGACTCCTAACAGCGGTGCAAGACCTGGTAGACCACCAACACTGTCCTCATCAGATAAACAGCACTTAAAGCTTTCATCTTTAAGAGAGAGGAGAAAATCAAGCTGCTTCAGATCTGAAAACATCCACAGGTGTAGCTGTCAAGAAGCCCTCACTGAGAAAAGGAAACAGACAGAAAAGTAGAAAATTTGCAAAATAAACAAAGAAGCTTTTGTGTTATTTACTGGTAAATATGTTTAATATTTTTTGCCTATTTTGACAGGAAATTAAACAAATAAAAGGTAGTCTCTGATATCTGCAGTACTATATGCACATCAGTGCAATATCAGCCCACAATGCCCATATCGGTGCATCCCTACATGTAGCCATTGTAATATTTTGCCCTTATTGTACAGCCCCATCAGTGACGACCACTCACTGTGCTCAATGTTTCCCAGATGGTGTTTTAGTAAATGTGTGTGTGTCTGTGTGTTCACTAGATTGTAGTGTAAGGGGAGATGAGCTCACAGACAGGTTGAGTAAGTGCTTTAGTATTTAGCGATAACCCACAATACACTGACCAACACAAATTAAAAGAACCCACATCAGAAATGCTAATGTTGCTAATACTAAATGAAGCCTAGCAGACGCAAACTTCAATACATAACTCGAGTTATGTTCATTGGTCCCCGCTAGCATTCTTTTCTCCACATTTATTAGCCACATTAGCTTTTCTGTGCACGGTACTGCTTTAAAGGAATACTCAAATGTAATCCCTATCTGCTGAAGCAACTGCTCACTGGTTTGAATGTGTTTAAATTACTGTCATCACATATATACTGCAGATGCAACTGATAGAGATTAGCATGAAAAACATTGGTGTATTCCTTAAAGAGCAGGGGTCAGGTCTGTAAACGTGGGCTAATGCTGAGAGTTTGTCCTCTGTAGGGACATAAATAGGCCTAGTGCTTCTAGTCCTCCCACCCTTTGGTTCATTCTGGGCCCTTTTTTCCCTTAGCATGTATTACTACCACCAGGAAGGTGTCCACTAGTGGTCTACAGAAGAAAGGTGCTCACGCAGCACGTTCCTTACCTTTTACTGTACAAAATGTGCTACTTTACTGTATTCATCTCCCACGATTAAACTCAAGCTATGAATAAAGCCATCGTCAGTTAATCACTTCGCTTGGCCACTCTCAGTCAACGGCACTAAGCTCCTTTAGTGCACTCGACGCACTCGCACACAAACACACTAAAAGCAGACTATCACAGCCTAAACGACTAAACAAATCTCTTCAGCTGCAAACTCATTCATATACTGTACAAATGAAAGTTATCATCAAACGGAAATTAGAAAAGCTTGTTTTTTTTTTTTGTTTTTTTTTTCCTTTCCAAAAGAAGGCTGTTAGTTCCTCGTACCTCTGCTGGGTGGAATTTTGTATGTGTGTTTGTGTGAGTAGTCTTGAGTAAAACAGTAGCTGGAGTGTTGTGTTAATATCCCGTGTCTGCAGAAGACAGTTCAGCTCAGACAGCCCCTTTCCATTAAACTATCAGTAGTATAAAGACTAGTGATAAAGCCTCCTCTTGATTTAGTTAAGTACATTTGTTTCAGGGGTTGCACCCTATGTAAAGATTTTTTTTGTTTGTTTCTTTTGACTTTTACAAAAGAAGGACAGAAAAACTGGTTTGTTCTGGCGCAGTGAAGTGTTAACAGCACCGGCCAGGAGAGATAACAGAGAGAAAAGGAAACAGAGTTAGAGAGATGGATGGGGTGGGGGAAAGGGGAGGAACAAAGCAAAAGAGAAAATGGCAGGGGGCTGCGCAGTCTTCCTGACTCTACACAGCTCAGGTGGTCTCCTTGCCCTGGGCCCCCGTCACTGTTTTAATGGAGCTTAAAGTGCGGTTGAACCAGGTCTTTTTGGCCGCTTGCACTTCATTCAGCGCCAAACCCAAATGATGCTCCAGGTCCTGCAACAGAGACAGCACACCATTCACACTCAGACACACTCGTTTCTTCGTTCCTTTCCTTCTTTTTCTTTCTTTTCTTCCTCCATCAAGACTTTCCTCTCTTCCTTCCTTCCATCATTCCCTTTTTCTTTACTCTTCCATTCCTTTATTATTTCATTCCCTGATCTTCCTTCCTTCCATCATTCCTTTTTTCTTTACTCTTCCTTTCCTTCATTTATTCTTTCATTCCCTTATCTTCCTTCCGTCCTGCCTGTCATTTTTTCTTTCTTTCCTCAATCCATTCCTTCCCTATTTTTTTCTTTCTTTTCTTTCTTTCCTTTGTGCACTCCATCTTTCCTTCATTGCTTTTTTCTCCATCTCTATTTATTCATTCCTTCATTCACACATTACCTTTTTACTTTCTTTTCTCCATTCATTACTGCCTTCTTTCCTTAAATATTTCCCTTCTTCATTCTTTCTTTTTGTCTTTCTTCCCTTCCTTCATTCTTTCTGTTCTTTCCTCCTTCATTTATTTTTTCCTTCTTTTCATTCACACATTCCTTAATTTCTTGTTTCCTTCATTGCTTCTTGTTTCTTTTCTGTTCTTTTCACCTTCCTTCCTTCATTCTTCCCTTCATTTCTTCTTTCCTTTCAATATGTGGTCAATCTTTATGTTCTTTACCTTCATAAATTCATCACCTTCAATCTTTTTTGTCTCACAAGAAGTTACTTTGCAGCAATAGAACATGCACATATAACTCTGTACTGTATAACAGCCAATAAAAAGGTATGAAAGTGTGAAAACAGAGAGCGTAATTACATACAAGGAGCTTCAAACAAAAACTGATTATCTGATAGGAGCACACACACAGTCCTCTACTGGTTAATGAATGTTTCAGAAATGGTGTCCATAAGTCTCAACTAAAAAACTACAACATAAGGCTCAGAAATCTTGGACCATATTTTGCATATATGTTACAGGAACAGATGTCAGGGACACCCTTAATGTGTCTCATTGATGAGTGAGTGTAATTTTAGGACAGATAATGCTGAACGTTTGTTCAGATGAAGCTCAGGTTTAGACGGTGGAGATCAGAAGAGCAGCTGCACTTTCAGCAATGCTGCATCAACAAGATACACACAAACAGGATTACATGCTTCAGCAGATTTTAAAATAACTCAAACCAGAGGAAAATCCATCAATAAACGCTTAGTTTCTTGCATGATCCTACAGAATAGCCAAGTCTGTGAACTCGCTATTCACTCCTGCATAATCACAACAAGGCGACTTGGTGGTATTTGGGGTTATTCAGGCTTGTAATTCAACAAAGGTCTTAAATTATGTGAAAAAAGTCAACCATCTAAATGAGTGGCTGGTCATAAGGCATGTGCAGCTGTACTAATATCTTGTTATTTTAAATGTTGAGAATGTGGGGACACGAGCAGATAGTATTGCATTATGTTAAGCGAATACGGGCACATCTAAGCGGAACTGTATATTGAAAAATAATTCCAACAGAAAGATAACAGGTTTTATGTCTATGTGATGAGTAATCATTCTTTAGGTCAGTTGTTAAATCACGCATACCTAAAACACCAGGCCTATAACAATTATTACATAATCGTCTGATTGCAATTTTTAAATTAATAAAAGAAAGTAGGAAACACATTGACTGAAACAAGGGTCTTATAAAAATAGCTAAAGTTAAACTTCTAGGTAAAAGGTAAGCATGTGGTAAGCATTGTTAGGCAAGTGTTTTCCACATTTTTACAGTCTTAAGAAAAATGTAGTCTTAGGATGACGTGATTGTGGGCGTGCACCACAGTGCAGTATATAAGTTCATGTCAGTACAACCTCAGCAAAGGTAGCGGCAAAGAAAGATTAGGATGCAAGACAGCTAATCAGCTGAATTAGCTGCTTTAGGTACTTTAACAGTACCATAAAATGATAAAAAACAATTAATTGCAATTATTTAAATGGCAATTATTTGTCAGCTAAAATTTCATGATCGTGACAAGCCTATGTGGAAGGCAATCCATGTCACCTCCATATTACCTGTTAGGATGATGAAGGTGAGGTAAAGATGATATGGAGAATGATGATTGCATGGAGGATGATGAAAGTAAGGTAAAGGCGATATAGAGGATGATAAAGGCGAGATAAGAGGACAGTGAAGGTGATTTAAAGGTGAAGCATGTCTGCGTACCTGTATTTTGCATTCTGCCTCCACCAGCTGCAGTTTGGTCTGGGCGAGCTCCAGCTCCATCTCCCTGAGCTGAGCCTGCAGAGCCTCCTTCTCCTCATCAGCCTCCTCCTCACTGCCCTCCTTCGGTGCACTCACAGCCTTCAGACGGCCCTCCTTACTGAAGAGCACACTGCACTTCTCACAGCCCTCCACCTTCAGCTACACACACACAGAAGCACACATTAATGGCTGCAACATTGTTATATGTTTTATTACTGATATTTTGCTAAATCAGTACTTCAAAGTGCAATAACCATGCTTTATGGCTCTAATGACATATAGACCACAACTGGTAACACTGCAAGTTATAGTCCCAAAACATCTGCCTTTCTGCATTCACTCTTTTGAATACTAATACATATAATTTGGTATAATAGTCTTTATACAAACTGTTCTTATAGTACTGTCTTCAGTACTGGCCTCATGCTGTCCAGTATTGCATATGTGTAATGCCTTAAAGAGCAATTCCACTGATTTTTCAACATTCCGGCAAAAAAGTAAGGAAATTCATTCAGAGTGGTTTGCTGTGAAATGCACAGTTCTAGAGAAATTTACTGAGTCAGAATCGTTCATAGTGATGGTGACTGGAACCAGACATCCAAATGCCTCTAAAAGAACAGTTACGAATACTCTGCCTGATACCTGAGGCATTGTTTTATGGCAGGTTTGAGATTAGATTTTGGCCCTAAATATATTTTTATACCTATTTATTGTAAAGAAGTACATGCAGGTTGTTGTAAGGAAAAACGGTCTCCCGGGGAGAGAAAAAAAAAAAACCATTTTTTCTCATTTACCCCAATTTTATCATTATCAACACTTCATATAAAAAACTCAGAAAGCACAATTAGGTTCACTGGTGGTTTTGGATAGTAAATAAAATTACTATATCTGCACTGTAAACCCCTAGTTCCTGTTACCACCACTATAAAGGAAATCTGAGTTGGCAAGTTTCTCTAGAATGGAGCATTTCACACCAAACCACATATTCTTAAACTAGTAAACCACTTACAGAGTATCATGGTTCCTACCTATTCAGTCCACTTCATATTAAGTGTCTCTAATAACTGTGTAGTTACATATTAACAACAAAATAACCACATTTTAACTACTGGTGATGTATTCGCTGTAACATATGGATTACAGTAGTTTGGCAAAATACATATATCAGCTTCAGATTTCACACATGAAATTACATGTTCTTTACATAAGTGTATCTGAATATTTGCAACAGCACACTGGTGGTTTTGGATAGTAAATAAAATTACTATATCTGTATTGTAAACATCTCTACCCCTAGTTCCTGTTACCACCACTATAAAGGAAATCTGAGTTGGCAAGTTTCTCTAGAATGGAGCATTTCACACCAAACCACACTGAATAATTTTGCTGACATTTGAACGATCAAATTATGCAGAGATTTTGAAAGATTGGTGGAATTATCCCTTTAAGCTGGCAGTGTACTTCAAATGATGAAACATTTCAAAGTAAAACAACATAATTTGGGTGCAGTGGTTTGAGTTTGTCTTGTGTGTCTTGTGTGCCGACTGCTAAACAGAACTCTGAATCACTGCGAGACGAGCCCCTGACTGCGCTTAGTCACCATATCACACTGTTACCTTTCTTTAAAAAAAGTCTACTTTTTAAGTATACTTTTTACTGTGTGTTCAGTGGCAGTTTGGTTTCATTTAGTTCTTTTGTCGTTTGAAATACACAGCCAGCTTTAACTGTCTATTGCTGTTCTGCACAAGACTATTGTCTATTTTTTCTTCATGCACTTTTGTATTATTGTGTGTACCGTTCATGTTGCAGCACTGAGCACTCTGAGAAATCTTTATGTTGATCTGGTACACTTATTGAATTGAACTAGACTAAACTGGACTGACCTGATTTGATCATATGCACCTACACCAGTACATATACCCATGTAAATTCATACAGATGCACAAGCATGCCCTCACATAGACAGGCGTGCTGTTATCAGTATGCAGTACTGTCAGAGCAGAACCCTACAGAGCCGCTCCGTTTCCTTTTTTTCATCAGGGTTTCAAGCACTAGCACAAAGTGTGGGAAAGGCATGAACCAAACATGTTTTCTTTTTTACCAGAAAGAAAAACAACAACAACAACAACAACAACAACACCACCACACACACACACACACACACACACACACACACACACAGTCATTCTCTTCACACACACACAGATACACAATTTGCGTGTGTCTGTGTGCCTTAAGTGGCTCGTTGAGAATCCATTCCGACTATGGAGAGGTCATCATCATGTACTCAAGAGCCTCTCCACTCAACTCTCACCTCATTAGAAAACCGCTACCAAGCAACACACTGGACCTGAAACGCTGCTGTCAATAGCAACAATCACAATTTTCCACAATTGTATGAAAAGCGTGAAGACTGGAGCACAGCCATTATGAGTGCTGGCAAAGTAATGATTATAGTTCAACAGCTGTGGCCCCAAAACTAGAAAATATTCTTAAACTAGTAAACCACTTACAGAGCAACATGGTTGCTACCTATTCAGTCCACTTCATATTAAGTGTCTATAATAACTATGTAGTTACATATTAACAACAAAATAACCACAATTTAACTACTGGTGATGTATTCGCTGTAACATATGGATAACAGTAGTTTGGCAAAATACATGTATCGGCTTCAGATTTCACACATGAATTACCTAAGTGTATCTCGATATTTGCAACAGCATATTAATTACTTAATCTTAGGTTAGGATCTTATGTAATTACACATGTATAAGACAGTGATCTGCTGTTTTTCCAAAAATACTTTTCTGATTCTAACGGGGGGTGTAATTAGATGGATCAGATGTCCACATATCTTCAAAAGCAACTTTTGTGTAATGATATTGAAATGTGTCGTACTACAGCAATTATGTTACTATATAATGTAATTGCAATTGTTTTTGTAATCTACTAAAAATGCATTGCGGAGTTCGGTAATGTAGCAAGTTTAAAGATGCAAAAGCTTGAGACATGTTTTGTTGTTTTTCTAAGTGTAAATAAGCTAACACCCCTACAGAGAACACACTGGTGCATATTGTAATGCATAATAATTACTGTTTCTTTGTTGAATTTAACATATTAAAAAAAAAAAATTAAATGTGGCCTGCGCAGATTTATTATATTTTATACTGTGTTTTAATTTTTTCCTAGTAAGTTAAACTCAGCAAATAAATGGAAATGTGCACATAAATGTCACATTGAAGTGTGTTCTCTGTAGAGGATGTGTTAACTTATTTCCAAAATCAACTAAACATGTAATTTGATCGGAAGTGTTTAAGCCTCTGCATAAGACTGTATACCACACTACACTGTATTCTATTACTATGCAGACAGAGCCACTGAAAGCTAAATTTATCAGAATGCTGGCTCTCTACAGAAAAACAGCAGCTCTGAACAGTTAAAAATGTGTTTACTACCTGCTGTTCATCATATAGCAAAAACACTTAACATTAATTCCCGTAGATCATTGCAATCAAGAACCAAAAATTAAATATGTAGTCTAGTCATGTTTTGTACTTTCATCCGTCCCCGTCTCCTGCACCTTTCGAAATGTTACGCCCACCTGCTGCTATGAAACAGAAGCAAACTTCAGCCTCGCTTAAGAAATTGATACTGAAGGTGTCTGAATTCATTTTTTGATTTATACATTTACACTGCTATTTAGCAAACCAAACAGGTCTTTCCTTTATAGCACAATATTAATGAAAGGGTAGGGATGCATTTTCACTGTTTGAGGGCTCATGTGCATTGGCTTTCTGCAATATCAGTATCCGTATCGGTGGTATCCGTACATCAGCAAAGTCGACATCACAATGTTTAACAAACAATGTACTGTGCAGCCCTATAGGGCTGTTAAAATTTACATTTGAATATTCACCAAATCCACTGAAAAATGCACATCCGAAAGCATTTGAACGTTTAAAGCCTCTGCTGCGGCTCCTAGTGTGTTCCAGGACAATTAGTTGCTGACGTTACCGCACACGACGGCTACTAAACAGACGGAGAACACTGCTGACCATAAACAGAACAACAATTTATTTTGGCTTTAATTAGAATCGGATGTGGATATCTGCAAACATCCAACAGCCTTTTAGTAACTTGGTCATCCCAAGCAAGGCGATGCATTTACTTTATAAGCTGAGTAACGCTAATGAGCAGAAGTACATTGTCGTGTAAGGTAATAAATGGTTCAGATGGCACACATTTTTCAGACAAGCCAACCCTCCAAATACGGATGATCTGTAGTGTAGTAATATAATAATCATACACTGAAACAAAGTTTCTGTGCAGGTACATTTTTCATTTATCAACGTACAAACAATATTAATGTGCCCTTAAAGGTTCAACAGTGGTTTTAAGGTCGAACTGTGTTCCTTACATAAGTTTTTTCCAGGTGAAAAGTATGTGTTTGTATCTTTTCATAACCTGATGTTTTAAAACAGAACAATAAAGTAAAAAGCCTTGAGACGAGACGGGGTGTGTGGAGTCAATACAACTTAGAAAACAGAATTTCAATGGATTATGGTACAATTATGTTCCCTAACTGAAGTTACCGAAAACGTACCTTTAAAGGGTACCACCCCTGCACCCCTCCAGCCACTGCAGTCACTTGCACCAGTTATAGACTTTTAGTACAGTCACTGTCCTCACGCTTTAAGTGCAGCTGCTCTCTTCAGCTTATAATGATGGCGGGAGATCACTGGCACGGGGATTTATGGATAAGTAGCCTGTGTACCTATGTCCATTACCATCTCCCATGTTGCAATGACAGAAAGAAAATCACTTGTTTCAATATGTGAGTGCTTGGGGATGCTTGATCATTTGTGCAGAGCGCCCCCTTATGAATTTCGGAGACATAACATTGACTTAGAAATCTGCTGTTTCTTGCAATTAATTTTCCAAAAGATAGTTTTTTGCTTATTTGCTTTTTTTTTTTTTAAATAATATGTTACAAACTTGAACATATCTGAATACTTAACAAACAAATAAGTGAAATTCAAACTTGATTTCTAATCCCATCTGACAGCTCTACAGCTCTGTGTGTGTGTGTGTGTTTTGTGTGGAGCTACTCACCCGAATCTTTTCCAGCTCTCCTCTGTTAGCCGTCTGCTGTTTCTCAAGTCGCTCACTCAGCTGGGAGCAAATCTGAGGAACAAACAAAAACAGAAAAGACGTTGAACTACTCTTTCTCAAAGACTGGTACACTGTGCAAAAACATAGCCTTTGTTCAAACCTTTTATCAGAGAGATCAGGACAGATTGTCGAGCTAAGGCAATAATCCAGCTTTTTTCAATCTAATCTCCATCTGCAGCATCTGTAGTATACAGTTGACTAACAACAGACAGTAAATGACAATAATGAACGTAATTCCCTATACAGAAAGCTTGACAGTTGACTTATAACTCATTTATAGTAAAAGCCACTGGGCAGTTGATGAACTCAGAATAAATGTTTCAATATGTGACCATATAACACAAATACAAAACAACAGAAGTGTTAGAATGAGATACACATGATGGAAGATCTTAACAAAGCTGTTTGTGTGAAGTTTCATTTAACTTTTGAACACTGGAGCAACACAGTACAAAAAAAGTTCCAGTGCTTTCACACTGCATAAGGTTTTCTCTCATCAAAGAGACCTTGAAAGATTTCACCCACACTACTGCACAGGTAATGAGCTACAACAAATTCTTCCCTCTGAAGTTATCACACAGACTTACAGCTCAACATATATGATTCACATACAATCATATACAAGAGTCAAATTTCATGTTGTGTTGATTTTCTAAGTGAAAACAAATTAACGTCCTCTAAACGTGCACATCTCCTATTTATTTACTGAGTTTAACAAACAAACAAACAAACAAACAAACAAACTAATAAAACATCATTTGTGGCAAAAGTTATGGCACATTTTACATTTTATTTTTCCCAATATGTTAAACTAGAACTGCAGAGAAATGCAGTATTTTAATATCTTCTCTGTAGAGCATGTGTTAAATTTGTTTCACTCAGAAAATCAACAAAAAGTAATACTGGGGTGTTCAAAATTATGTACCTGTCTGTAAATGCCCAAGAACGTCCATTATAAACATGTTTTAAGTCAATATTTTTTTCTTTTTTTTTTTTAAGTAAGTAAGGAAAACTTAAATCATGGTTGATAGTAATTAACTATGTTACAGATGCGGCAGAAAAAGACTAGGTTGGAAAAACAGTGGAGTGTTTCTTCATGAAAGACCCAAACCTCCAATCAGAGCACACAGCACTTTCATAAAGCTTTTTTTCCCCCATAATATCTCTTCTACATCTAAGCCTAGCTGATATCACAACAGGGACAACAGTCCTGACCAATCCAACCTAAATATATCTGCAATTAGATTAGTTTTTTGTTTGATTATGTAAACATGTTGAGTGCTGTAAAAGAAGTTATCCACCAGTTAGACTCAGATATAACAAAACATTGGAGTTTCGCAAAAAGCACCAGTTAAAAACAGAGCCTGAGATGAAAGGCATGCACAAATGCAATCAAAACGTTCACTGCAAAGGAAATGGTGTTCACAAAGTGGAGAAGATTTCTTTGAAAGATACTTAAGCATAACATATTTGACAATCAGTAGGTACTGCAAGAAACCTTTCCAGCTAAATCAGGCTAACAGACCAGGGGAGCACGGGGCATCACCGAGTACATGATCATTTAATTTTATGCAGTTAAAATATTCAAGCAGAATGTGCTTTTGGTCTTCTCAAGATTCACCTTAAAGACTGTTTTTGCACCATCACAGTAACTTTTCTCATCATCTGTGTTCTGTGTAAGTCATAGAATTCACCCCTTTTTTAATCTCTCTCTCTTGGTGGCTGCAATATAGCACCATTTTGAAGGGATTAACCAACGTACAGTTACTTTTAATATGCTGTTACAACTACGACCTCCAAATTAAACACAGAGAGAAGCCCATATACCCTGTATAAATTAAAAACTGTCTTTTTTCCTTTTTATTTGTGTTCATCAATAATACTGAAACACGTGAAAATTAATCTCATCCAACCCTACTTGCATCTCTTTTCCTTTCTCTCTCTTTTGATTCACTATACCACCCCGTCTCCATCTGGTTAAGTGCATTAACCATGCTTCATGCTCCGTGTCACTGGGAAATCACTGGCCCTCTTTAAACCTCTTCACGCTTAAATGAAAAATCCAATTCTAATTGTGAACTTGACCAGAACTGCTGATCAATGGGGTAAAACCTCAAGACCGCACACATGTCACCACTTGCCAGTGCTGAGGGATTCACACATCTTCATTTAGCCCCCAACATCATCAAACACACAGCCCAGCACTGCACTTCATGCATCTTCATATGAGGGAATGCATTATATCAATGGCACCAGCATGTTCATCTTCCAACCATTTATGAATCAAACCACTGAACAGATTTTTGTGACAGAACTGGTCCAGGCCAGTAATGGAGACACATAGCTTCATTTAGAGTAACAGCATAACCAAACCTCTACTTTCCTCTATCTTTAGTATATACGGGGAATATTTATTCTCATTAGATTTACAGTCTTCTCATTCTGAATTACAATACAGCTGGCTTTACATAATAAGGGTTTAGATGGATGAGGGTCCACTGCCCAGACACAAAAAAGACTCTGGATTTTCTTCAGTCAGGCATGCGCTTCAATCTGAGGGCTGCCCAACACGGCGGTCATTTTTCCAATTTTGCGTGGTGCACTTTGGCCAATTGTTTCAGCGATTTTCAGTGGCCAACAGGAGAGCAGCAGGCATGTCTGGTAGTTCCTCTCACCACCTGAAAGGGTAGATTTATTAGAAAATGCTGCCCACTTTGCGAGCACAGCGCACACCATGAGTGGTGTGAAAGGGGTCTGAGTTCTAATGGAGTTGTGGTCTGAACAAGAAGTTGAATGAGATCTAAAAGGACCAGAAAGAAAACTGAGTCCACCTTATAGTTCACTTACATTGTGAAATCAAAAAGAACTGAGGTCATTGGCAATTGCAATTGCATCTATTTTGGAATGTTCAAATAGATTATAAACAATCATAAGAATATTTAGTAAGGTACGTACTCACTTTTGGGCCTATTCTCTGTTTTCTGCCTATTTTAAAACATTCTGTGTATTGTTTGTATTGTCTATATCCCACTCGTGTGTGAACAGCTCTCTGTTATCGCGCAAATGATAGTAATAGAGTATTGCATTGCTGGCCAGACCAGCATTTTAAAAGCTTTGAATACTCATTATTGTTTTCAAACAATAATCATTCTCAAATAATTTCTTAAAAACAAAAATATTAGCACTTCATAATGATGCATTAATTAACAGTGATGATAGTGCAAAAGAATTTACATCAGTCATGTGGCCTATCAAACGGGAATATTGCGATACTTACATCTTTGAAAGGATTAATCAAACTTGTTGCGTCTCTATGTAACCACTTTTTTCTTGTGGTCTGATAATTTAAAATGCTCCCACACGTGATTTCTTTCGAGGGCATCTCTGCTGTTACAGCTTCAATGGCTGCTTTTAATCTGTGCAATTTGTTGCGCCCTGAGACGAGGTGACGTGGAAGCCTAGCATAAATTTATGACTCATTCAACTAAACCAACTATAATCTATTCATTTTCAATAGTTTTCATATATTAACCAATAGCTGGTCTATTTCAAGGCCTTCACTGATTAAATTCATTTAAGACTATGATATTTGAGGTTTAAAAAGACAAAGCCTCTAAATATGAACAGGAATGCTAATGTAATACCCTGTCCCAAGCAATAAAAAAAAAAAATATTGTAAGCATTAGGAACAGTATGTGTGCTTGCCTAGCAGCAGCTCTGAGCCTCTGGACACGAGGAACAAAAGGCTTCACTTGTGGCAAGAGAACATGATGACTTGGCTGTTTCCTGAGTTAATTATGTGCTGTGTGTTCTCCCTGCCTCTTTTTCATGTTCATATATGTGAATCTGTTGGGGTGAGTGTTGTATCTGTACTCAGTTAAGCAGCAGTACCAGCTGTGTGTGTGTGCGTGTAACTCGTTCTGCTCTGAGGACCCCATTATCGTGCTGGATATGAATCACACTGTCAGCAGGGCCATTAAAAGCAGCTCTACAGGGATGTGAGAACAACTATTTTTACAGAGCACAGTTCACACTGTACTGCTCCCAGTCCAGCAATGCTAGAAAAGAAAAACAAATAAACAAATAATAAACAACTCTAAGCTAAACTTAACCCTAATTACAATCACTTCGGAAAAATGCTTGAGTTTTTATTTTAATAACTGTATAACTATTACTATTATTACATTTACAGCATTTTGCAGATGCTCGTGTCCAAAGCAATTTAGTATTAATTGCTTAAAAGCTCTATTATTATTTTTGTTTTTTTTATATTTATTCATTTTATCTATGGTTTTAAAAAATAAACTATTTAACTGCAGTTAATCACAATTTCTCACATTTGTCTTATTTACTCAGCTTGATTTTTCAATTTAAAAAGCAAAACATTTTGTTTTAGTTTTATGAGTGGACAAAATAAGCTTTATCTGAAGTAATTATTACTTCTAATAACTCAGTAACATTGTTTCACAGCAAGAAGGGCCTGGGTTCGATTCCCCATCCAGGCGACCGATGGGATAGGCTCCAGAGACCCATGAGGATAAGTGGCCAGTGTTGCTGAAGGCGTCCTCTAGCGTTAACATTAGAGATTTTACTGACATTGCTGCATCAGCAGTAAATGACTGTAAAAAATACTTTAGACTCAATGTACCTCTGAGACAAACAAATTCATACCATAGCAGTAGCTGGTTTTATCAAGCGAGCCATCAGTGGAACAAGCCATTTAAAAGCAGTATGCACTGCTTCAAACTGGAACTGTGGATGGTTTGAAGGGTCATCCACTTCCTTTAAGGACAGGCTGTCCCGTGTCACAAGATGACTATTAGTATGAGCGTGTAAATGTATGCTGCGGACTGACCTGTTTGTATTCTCCAATGATGGAGCCATTCTTTTTGATCTCAGACTCTGATTTGTCCAGCTCTCGCCGGCACATCTCCTTCAGCTGAGGACAGAGAGAGATCACAGAGTTATACACAAGATCACGAGATTCACTGCAAAGAGAGATAATGCAGTATGAGTAAGAAAAAAAAGAATGCATCCCAAGACTGGGATGCATCCCAGTAACTGCCCTGGCACTCAGCGGACCTCAGAACATTCTGACTTCGACCTCTTAGCATCACATTGTAATTCAAAGTCGTTGTACTGTGTTATGTACTCATAACATACTGCATGATAAAGTTCATAGGTAGACAACATTATGTCTCCTTAACTGTATGAGTAGCTTTCTATTCTTCCTAGCTAGGGGTTTGACAGAGACAGCCTTTTTTAATGTATTTTTTCTATTAATAAATAAGGGCTGAAAAGCAAGGGAGAAAAACAGATACAGTTAAACCAAATTAGTATACATTAAAATAAAGTCATTATTACAAAAAAAGGAAAAATAATGAAATGGTTTAGTATATAAATATCAACTAATGATGTACCAAAATTAAATTTCTTGGCCAACACCTAACTTTATTTATTTTATGTTTTTTGTTTTAAATAAAACTTTATTTATTTTATGCTTTTAACTAAACATACAGCACTAAACATAAAAACTAAAAGGAATTTTTATTATGGATAAATAACCTGTTCAATAAGACAAAACTCAGCTAAAACTAAATGAAGTTTACATAAAATAAAATTATTACAGTATTTTAAGCCACAATATGTGCCCTGAAACCCAACGTACTCGACAACAGTTATACTTGCCACAGAACCTGATGTCAGCATTAGCACTGCTTAACAACGAACACCAACTAAAAATGCGAAGAATCAAAACACATTCCAACACTACTGTCAACATGTTTTCAGTTGTAGATGAATAATTACCTAAATAAAATTAAACAGCCTAACTGGATTCAAATCAGTTTATGAAACAATAATAACACTTCACGGAAGAATGGAGAGATGGGAAATGAACAAACGACAGGAAAAGGTACATAATTATTGATGGGTAAATGGAAACAATTAACTTGTGAAAAACCATCAGACCTGCACACACAGAGCGCAGACTGCAGAGCACAACATGGCTGCTGACACATCTTTACCTCATATTTACATTTACACCATTTGGCAGAAAGACTTAGTTCGTTGTCTGCCAAGAAAACTTATCCTTATGCTGGTGTAAATAGGCCAGCATCTTTAGATACCATCGAGCTGAAACACTGCCAGCCACGGGAGTCTAAATGTGCTTAATGTGACTAATTCAACCATAAATGAGAAATCTTATTAGCTGTTATTGGCCCTGTTCACTCATAAGGATCATGCCATTCAATCAGTAATGCGGGCCTTCATAAGACTAAAAGATCTAAATAAATCAACCTTAGAGACAGCCAAAACATTAAGTCAGAATCAAATGTTTCAAAATAGCCAGGCAAGGACAGCTGCTTATAAAGCATTTACAGTTCTGGGGCTCTCTGGTCATTTTTCGGACCAAAATGCTTGATTTTAGAATTTGTACAGCCGCTTGCTTTTTTGTGCTACAGGAAGTTGCAATACAACTGTAGAAATGTGTGACTGCCTGTATATTTCTTTGCAAACACTGTTAAAGCTTGAAAATACATCGTTCTTTCGGTCCATACACACCATACATGGACGCAAATATCCACGCATTCGGCCTATACATTTATATTTACATTTAGCTCTGAACATTTACATAGATGTTATAAGGAGTGTTTCAGCCTAGACTGCCTTTGAATGAAAATTCAAGGCAGCCAATCGGAGCAGACATAATTTACATAACAGTAACAAAATCAGCCTGTTTAGTTCTAAAGGATAAAAAGAGGTCAAAAAATGCTCACAGAAGAATGAATTATGACTCAATTTGTTACATAAAGCCACAGAAACATAAAAGGATTTCGGAGGGAAAAATACAAGTAACATGAAAAAACATGGGCCCTTTAATATTTTACACTGAAATGATGGAATGACTAACAGGAAACAAAATAAGCACCAGTCACACATTCCGGAAAGATGAAGAAAAGTAATAAAATAGGGTGCTCTATCCCAGCAGTGCTGTCTGACTCTGGACTAGTCTGAATTTAGCATCTAACATTATTTCTAACAGTCAACGCAGTGAAAAATCAACTAAAATCAAGTTAAAGTTTTATGGTGGAAAAGTGCGGGTCAAGTGTGAGTCAACTGTCAACTTTCATTTGTGGTCCTTAATAATGTTGCATGCCATACAAAACAATTCCCATCCTGCTTTCGTGTAAAACATACAGGAACTGGTTTGCCTCATCTTTAGCTGAAATATTTGCTGCAAAATGTGAACTCTGCTTTATTCACAGCTTCCTGGGATGTATGCTTACAATTACTGCAAAAGCACTTCAATTATTTACACTTTTAATGCAGAAATAGTGCAATGCTTGGACAAAATTAGGAGCCCTTGTGAATATCGCAAGGACTGGTTTGAATTTGCATGAACTGAGTGATACGCTTACTGACATAGGCAATACATTGCCCCAGCACTGCTCATGATCAAAAGTATCACACACTGTTATTGATGATGTAACTTCTTTGTCACACAATAAACTTCCATACACTTTTTCAGTGAATAGGTCTTTCTACTAGCAGAAGCAAAGTAGAATTTTCTCCCCAGCCTACTGAGCAGCAAAAAGAGTCGCATTTCTGCTTCCAAACCAGAGCACAAAGAGCTGCATAAATGTCCTGGCGAGAAAATAAATTTCCATTATGCAGAAAGGTTTGTGCCAATGTTTTACACTGACAATATGTGGCATTAAGGATTTTTACATAACTGTATTCGACGCTCTTTCATGGCTGAGGTCTCTTGTTGATTCTGAAAAGAAACTGCATCAAAGAACCATGACGAACCAACAGGAAGTGCTTCTTACAGCTACTCTCAATGTGCACAGGCTCCCCAGGCATGTGCTGGTGTTCTTCCATAGAAACTAAATGTTTTTAGAAAAGCTTTCATTTCTTATGTTTTAGAAGCTTATACATTCCTCAGGATGATAATGTTTGGGACATTTTATGCATAAAAAAATACTCATCAAAACGGTCTGCTGGCATTTACAACGAGACAAACAAGTGATGCACAAAACTGTTTGTCCAGGGTGTCAGAAGTACAGGTGCCTGGTAACTTTTACATAACATCGCTGTCAAACACTGCAATATAATTGTTCTTCCAGTTTTACTTCTATTTTATCTATTTATTTTTGTACGCTCTTTTAAAATGTCAGCTGTCCTTAACAGGGTGTAAACATTTAATGTAAATGGATGGTTGCAACTTTAACATATGTTAATGTAGCAGGATTTTATTGTAAGAACAACAGACCACATCTACTGGTTCAGTCTTAAAATTGTGTGTGGACATTTGTATAGAAATTGTTCAAAATGACTTTATTATTTTATTAAAGCATATTAAACATTACAGCTGTACTGAAAAAAATTAAACAACCCAGTCAAATTACATGTTACTTTGATTTTGTAAGTGACAAAATGTTCATGTTCTGAAAATCCTTTAGAGAACACACTTAAATATGCCACTTTTCTGCTGTTTTTAGTCCACAATCTGTATTTGTAAAAATAAAACATGCCATAACTTTTGCACAGGCCACATTTTATGTTTGAATTTTTTCTCAATGAGTAAAGTTTAGCAAATAAACTGTAATTGTGCATTAAAATGTGCAGAAGTGTGTTCTCTGTAAAGGATGTGTTAACGTATTTCCACCTAGAAAATCATACAGCAAGTATTTATTTAAAAAATAAAATAATAAGCATTTTTAATGCTGATACACATAATTTCAAATGAATCATTTTACTGCACTGGTAAAACTCTACAAATATGATATACTCCTCTGTAATGCTAATGAAGGTAACATTAGCAGATTCTTTCCCAATTTGTACATATTATATATGTTCATGTGTCTGCATGATATGTACATGATGAATACTATACACAATAGTTAATCTCAACTTTTAGTAACATATATAAAAGACTTTGATATGACAGTGACATTATGTACAGTCACTTCATCACTTGTTTGTCTTGTTGTATATATAGACGGGGTGGTGGATACTAGGTTTTATTATGACAGCAACAACATATTCCCTTGGTTTCTTAGCTAAGGATTGTGTTAGGATGCTCTTTTTATTTTTTCTTCAAATCTTTACCATTCCTTTACTCTTCCTTCCTCTCCACAGGGGAAATCTTCCATATCAGCTTGAACACATATTTAACCCAGCTGTCCCCTCTGGTACACAAGTCCTTACTCTTTCTAAGGAAACTACTGTCCAAAGGCATTATTGTGCCACTAATAAAAGCACTAACGTCTCACGAGATTCTGCAGCAATTTAACACAACTCACAGCCGGTCCACTGTGATTCAATCTCAGCCTCGGGGAACTTTTCTAATGACAGAGAGGCAGATAGGAATAAAGAAAATATCAATAGTGGCTGTGATAGTGTGGAAAAGGAGACTCGCACACTTCAGTACCATGAACTCTCCTTCGCAACACCATCTTAAGGGCTGTTCCATTTACTGTATAAGTTCTAGTGAAGTTTGTAAGATGACCCTTTGGAAGGGTGAAGGATCGAGTCAATGTAAATGTAGACTTCAGCAGCAGAGCCTACCCAAATCTGTTTTCAATCCAGAAAAAAAAATATGGCAGACATAGATGCTGATAGGTCAGAGCAAAAACAAAATACATATATACTTAATAATTCAAAACTACATTATTGGATTTGCTACGCTCAAACTAGTCACTGTGTAGCAAGCTACTTTATTATACATGACTAATAATGTAACTTTTTTACTTAAGCTTAAAGGGCCCATATCAGGGAAAATTGGAAGTTTTGAAAATTTAGCAGTCAATGTATGGAAATTAAGCTGCAAAATAGCCTGTTTTGAATTCAGTTTCTGTGATGTTATGAAACACAATACATTTACATTTATATCCACCTATTCACTTTACAAGAGTTTAGCCCCACCCCTTCGCAGTGAAGTTATAAGGAATGTTTCAGCCTGGACTGCTTTTGGTACTGAAGCACAATACAGTTACATAATGTACATAATGTAGCCACTTACATAATGTAGGTGCTGTGCACTTCTGAGTGTTGAGGTGATGTTAGGGCAGACTTAAAAACAATTCTGAAACAGAAAGATGGGAAAAAGCAGAGAGAAAATGGCTGACCTGCGCAGACTCTTCCTCCAGTCGCCTCTTCTCATCCTCCGAGTCTATTAACTTCTGTTTTGTGATGAGGAGCTCTTTGTTTAGGGCATCAGCTTTCTCCTCTGCCTAAAGAATACACAGACAGGCACACAGTCTTTATTACACCATTAAGTTATGCATAAATAAGTATGAACTGTGCCTGATTACATCAAAACAAAGTGACCGTACAGTCAGTCAGGTCACCACAGTAGAAGTAGTAAATCTGCTGGAAAACAAGGTAAAAGTGAAGCTGCTGCAGAAAGAACAACTTAACTGTCCTGATTACTCATCAGAGAAAGTGAAGGAGTGCAAACCTTTAAACTTCTAAAACACCTGTAAATGCTGCTGCTACACCTGCACCAAAATGTCAAAGAATAATAATAATGCATGAAGCCCTGTGCTAAATAGCCAGCCCCCTCTTACTTTTAATGCAGCACTTTATTTAATTCATGTTTATTAAATAGGCCACTGATTTAAGAATTTAAAATGTCAGTTTGGCCCATTAAAACCACAATAATGTTGGAATGGTAATAGTGTCTTTTAGTCTGTTTTATGTGTTTGTTTAGCCTACACAGTGAGAGGTTTGGGTTTAAATAAATAAATAAATAAATAAATAAAGGCTAATGAAAACCAGCAGAGAAAATACACCACTGGTCAATTTGTAATTCAGTACAGGGATTGCAATTCAGGAAGCTCCTTATAAACTTAAACTCCAATGCTGCTGTACTACACGATGCTGTTACTGTTTCTCCTATAGACTACTTAAAGGAAGTGATAAACAAACAAACAGGTCAGTAAGACAAGCTCACGTTGTCCAGATCCTTCCTCAGAGAGATTTTGCTGCTGACCAGTTCGTGGGCCAGGTCATCGTTCTCTTGCTCCAGACGCATGTTTGCCTCCTGTAGACGTCTGTTCTCCCTCTGTGGACAAGACCAAGGACAGGGTTATTGTGGTGTGTATTGTCTGCTTGAGTGTCTGACTCAGTGATCTTGTGACAGTGTCTATGTAATAGTTAACTATGGCAGTGAAGAGAGCAACCTTTGAGAAGAGTCCTGACTAACAGTTGACCCAAAACAGTGAAATATGTGCTGAGGTATTTAACACACTCAGCGCAATTCAATTCAATCTCTCAGGCTACTGAACATGGAGCCCATAAACAGATTTTACCCATCACAACAGGGCTGTGTGTTGTAGCACCCAAACACAAGGAGAAGCTTATATAAATACAGGAATAAATATACTGTATACGACAACTGTCTGCAAGCATGTGCATGGCATTTTGGTGCCATCACTATTTGCCCTTTAAAGACCTTTGCCCTCCAGACAAAAACAATGTTGTGCCCACTGTAAAATAATTTTCGAATCGATATTCGAATATCCGTAAAAGTTAATATTATATATTTAATATATATTATATATTAAGTTGTATATTTGGTTGAGCACAGAGAAGCCTGATAATGTGTCTAGGGATACACATTAACATCGGGATCACATCAGTATTGGCAGATATTTGCTTGAAAAAAAATATCAGCATTAGACAGAAATTTAGATTCGATCAATATTTCAAACTAACATTTGATGATGTAGTTATTGCACCCCAGAAGAGCAGAATGTTTAGACTTTGCTGGGCTATAGTGCTAAAAATTTGTATTTGATTGATTTTAATGCACTGTAACTTCACAGGAAAAAAGCTTTAGTTCTCTGTAGTGTTTTTTAATGTTTATGCATCAATTACATAAAAAATATCAGATACCGGCATCAGCCTATAATTCCCATATCGGTGCATCTCTAAACATATCATAATACATAGACACAGTAAACTGGTGAACTGGTGCTATCATTCTTAAAAAAAGATGGTTCTTCCAGGGTTCTTTAGTAAAGACAGTGGTTCTATATAGAACGGTGAACACTCGAAAAGCTTGTAACAATACACAAACCCTTTTAGGTGCTATTTAGAACCCTTTACAAAGTGAACCATATGAAACACATCCTCCATCAATATGAAGAAACCATTTCCTAATACAAAGTATCTTTTAAGCATGCAAATGGTTCTGTGAGTGTTCATGGTCCTACTTAGAACCAGTGTCCTTACTACGTGAAGAACCATCCATCCATTCATCATCTAAACCGCTTATCCTTCTGGGTCGCGGTGGGGTGCTGGAGCCTATCCCAGCTGTCATTGGGCGGAAGGCAGGATACACCCTGGACAGGTCGCCAGTCCATCACAGGGCACCGTGAAGAACCATCTGTTTTAATTGTATAGAATTTCAATATTCTAAAATGGTCACTGTGTTTGAGTAACTGAGACAGTGCAATGCTAAATAGCTCCTACATAAAGTTTTTTCTACTCATTAGATGATGTGTCAACATGTTTGTTAGCTGACAGCAAGAACAAACAAGTATCTTCTTGTTGTTTTGGGTTCTAGCTAATGCCAGCAAGAGTAAATGGCCTAGTTACAGCCATATATCTGAGTCATGTGTTTCACAACACAATCACTTTAACGCACTCACGTTTCGTTGTAGCAAAGTATAGGTAATGTTTATGAAATCTTAAATAGAAGCAAAAGTACATTACACATTACAGTTACAGCCCTGTTACAGCACTTCTCTGAATTTCTGGATAATATATTTTCTCTTTCCATGATGCAACAAAAACAGTGATTTCAATGCTGGAATACTGGCACCAGACATCTGCAGTGAAGACCACTGATACACAAGTATGAATGGTAAAAATGCAAAACATGGTGGCAGAATCACATAAGCAGCAAAGATCTTGTGCTATGTAAGTGTGTTTTAATCTGTTTGAGATTGACAGGTCCTAAATCATTTCTTTAATTCCACCTGAGTTGAGACAGAGCTAAGAGTTGAGTGGAGGGACACACTCATCAGTGATCCCTCCATCATTTCATCATTTCATCAGCATGCCTCTCTCCAACTCTCTCTCTCTGCTCTCCTCTGAGCCCGCGATGAGGTTTCTCCTGGATTACTGCTCATTACTTCCACAAAGCGCATATGCTAATAGGGGGCAGAGCGGTGCAGGGTCTGAAATGTATTCAAGCTCTTTAGAGCAGGAGGTGAAAAACAGGCTCAGATGAAGCACGCTACTTTACCCATCACAAATTAAGCTCAGCTCACTGAGAAACGTCGCAGTGCAGGTGAGATTCTCACAATCGCACACACATACACACAAGCGGAAATACTGTGCAAATATTTGTGCACAGGGTGCTCATGCAAAAATGGATTATACAAATCTTCCCAAACGTACATTTGTATTAATGATGAGCATGAAATAAAACGCCTCAGTATTTCAAACAAGCGCACTCACAAAAGCTGTGAATACTGTGTACAAAGGATGCTCATGCAAAAGATTACGTGAATAATCAAACACGATGCACACAAAGAAAATGCCTCAGAATGTCAAAGAAACACACAGGAGAAGATTGTGTGAATATTTGTGCAAATACGCACACGCACAACGTACATGCAAAAGCAGATAAACAGGTAAATTATCATACAAATTCATCAAATGGTGGACAGAGATGGTATGATAACACTTGTTCCTTTCTTTATTAAAAGCCTGTGCATCAGCTGATACCACTACAGTAAATGAAGGTTTCCGTTAGCTGATAAATATCAATATTGGACAGGTAAAACTCTGCAGAAGGGGCTTGAAAAGATCTGTAAATGCAAAGATTTGTCTCTACAAACAAAGATCAGAATTGTCCAGACTATGACTTTCTCTGTGGTTCTTTATGGACGTAAAAACTGGAAAATAACCAAGTGTAACAGGAAAAATATTAAAACCTTTGAATTTTGGTGTTGGCTTTCAGAAGACTTTTAGGAGAACCTTGGACAGCAAAGAAAACAAACAAATGGATCCTAGACCAAATAAAACCTCACCTTTCACTCAAAGCCCTGACAACCAAACTGAAGCTCTACTAATCTGGACATATTGTAAGAAGAACAAATTAACTGGAAAAGAACATTATGCTTGGAAGAGATGAAGGTAAAAGTAGAAGAAGACGACCAGCTGTACGATGGATGGATACAATCAGAGGAATCATGAACCATGATTATGTGCGTATGAGAACTGAACTGTCGAAATTGTCAAAGTGCAGGGCCCATATATGGAACCTTTTAAGTTTAGGACAGGGGTCGGAAACCCAAATGTTAAGAAGAGCCATTTTGTCCTTTCAACAAAAATCAAACCATCTTGAGAGCCACAATATTTTATCTCCATTTTACCATCTTGGCTGTAAATATGTGTCAGTATGTGCTAATATACTAGCATAGGCTAAAAAATATAATATAAATGAAAACGCAGACTTACTCTGCTCTGCTTTAAGCTTTAGCTCACCTATAGCCGCTTTTCTCGCATCCCAGGCAGGAAACTTTTCCTCAAAAATTTGCACAGTATCATTTAAAATGTCTCACAACATTCGACTTTTTACAAGGCTGAAGTCAGTTTCTCATTCGCCAGCTTTTTGTTCGAATTTACCCATTCCACCTTAATTGCTTAATTTGGCCTGAGGTGCCAAAACGTAGCTAACTGCTGCACTATTTTAAGGTGAAACAGGAAAGTTTGAACAAGAAACTGACTTTAGCTTTGCGACTTTTTAGTGTTTGAGTTTCTCGTTGCAGATTAAATGTATAAATAACGTAAAATGCCCATCTTAAGTCTTTCTCAATGACTTTTCACTAGCTAGGCATTGCTATGGTGACCAGCAGCCTGCATGCCAATCTTCAGGATTAAAGGGTGAATAAGCAGTTATACATTAACTCAAGCATTTAAGACCATTTATTACCAAAACTGTGTTAGAACGATCAGCAGAGCTTTTATTTACTGCAAAAGAGGATTATTTTATTTTTACCTAAAAATCTAATTCTGCAGTAAAAGAGTCGCATCGACCCTGGCGTCAAATGTTGCCGACCCCTGGTTTAGGAATTTAACATCAATGACTGGAATTTATCTATTTGTCCGGCAAACTGAATCATTACTGGACACTAAAATTTTCAAGCGGAAACTGATTTAGATACACACACAGACAAGGACTAACGACACACTCATATTCAAACAGCTCCATTTCACACAGAAACATACATTATTACCTCATATCTCTCTATGGGGGCCTCCTGTTGTTCTTGCTGTTCTCGCATTGTGTGGTATTCCTTCTCATGCTTCTTCAGCTTCTTCTGACTGATCTGTCACAAACACATACACACAATTATTTCTATATGTGCATACATGTAAGACTTTTTTAGTTAGTTAAAGGAATAGTGAAGTCTTTTGAAAAGTTTGTTGGGATAAAAGATTGTGGCTATAGAACAGTGTCAGACAATCAGGGCATTAAAGAAATAACACTGCAGAAGAGTTAACTGACTCCATGCTCCATGATTTTGTAATAGCAACTTCTGCTAGGTTGGACAAGCTAGGAATCTTGATAAAAATACCATTTAATCTGGTGAGAAATTCTAGTGCAAAATTCAGTTATGGTCAAAACACTTAGATTTAGAATAATTAACTACTAATTAATAATTAATTTGAAAAAATATTTATTTTTGCATGGTAGCATATTTGTCATTACCATATAACACAGTTCCAATTAGCTACAACGTAGCGCAGCTTAGTAGCGAGACGTTTTTAAATGGGTAACTTAACATTACGCTACAATCTTCCACAAACCATAATCTAGCAACAGCTTCCACGCAGGAGTGCATCTGTGGGCAGAGCATGGATAAATTAGTTCATTTAAAAACAGAGCCATGATAACTCAAAACCTATAATCTGTATGTTTGTGATTTTCTTGAAAAGTTTAGTTGCAAAATAAATACAGAACTAAAATGTTTTCAGAGCAAATTAAGCCGATTTCAGACTTTTACATCAAATGCTGCTATAATAAACCACCAATTAGTCTAACAGGCTATAGTTTCCAACACACACTGTCCCTGGTGACCCACATACAGCAGTACACAAACATACACACACATCTTAAGCTACATTTATCGTCTGGTGGCTCAACACTGTAGTTTCTCTTTTAAATGAGCCTGTATAATAGACAAAATCACGTGTGTGTGTGTGTGTGTGTGTATATATACCCATATGTGTTTTCAATACCAGACATTTCGGAACAGAACATTCCAACATTCCAGCTCCAGGTGGGTGCTGTAAATACCCTATGCCTTATTTAGGAGGTCTGTTTAAAATACTGAACATTATTATTATTTTATACTTTATATTTCGATGCTAAATAGCAATGAGTACATTTACATGCACTTAATAATCCCATAACTGCAGAAAAACTGATTTTGACAGAAATCCGATCAACATGTTTACATACACTTGAGTATACTTGTATACTCACACATATATACATACATACATACATAAATACATACATACATACTGGTAAACCTCTTTAAACGTTCACAGGAGGTAGCTCTAGACACCTGGCATCTTTTCTTTGCATTCATTTCTGAGCTGCTGAGCTGGGTGTTTATATTGAAATGCAGGATTTGTGTAGAACTGTAAACAATTGTGTAGAATTGAGGCATAACTGCTGTCCTGCAGACAGTGCAGTGCTGTGGATTTTAGTGCAGTGCATTGTGAAATGGACTAATATTTATAGAAAACCTAAATAATTTTGCAGACAGGATCTAATTGTGCGGCCTTGTGTTTGACTCACGGGATCTAAAAGATTAAGAATATTTAAACCTTTGATTTCGTCAAGCATGCAGTTGGTTTCAGTGTCGCATTATTATACTATATGGAACACATATAATAAATGCTTTGATATATACAGTATATGTATATTATGACACATTACACACAGGTACTTCTGTGTAATACATCTGGGAAATATGTATGACCCCATGTTTTGACAAGGCATAAAAACAAATTTGAGGGGAGATAAAGGCCCTTTTTATTTGCTTTACTTGTAAATTTGAAGTGTTGGGTGTCTGCTGAGCCTCCTGGAAGAAGCAATGTGGACGCTCGAGTATTTCAGAGCTGGGGCCTCCAACTGCAAAAGCACACACAGTCCATCTTAAAATACAGACACTGCATTCAGAGGAACAGAGAGTGCTTAAGAGGGGGCGGGGGTGTGTGTGTGGAAGAAAGAGAGAATGGTGGTTTTGTTTTGGGGAACGAGTGGGAGAGACACCCAGAGGAGACTCAATCAGTCACGAAGTGACAGGAGTCAGGCTACTGTACACACACACACACACACACACACACACACACACTTCATCTGACCACACTTAGACACTAACGGGGCATCTATCTTGCTGCTTGTTTATGAACATGTTGTTCCGCAGGCCTGTATGCCCTCTATCATCCATCTTTCTGCTGTTGTGATATTGCTCCAGCATTACTGTAGTGTTGCTGAGATGTTAGCAGCTCTGCTCTGCAGCCACCTGCTCATGGCCTCCAGCTGGCCCTCTGCTGACAGAATCAGGGTGCAGGTGACAGCACCGAGCAACCTGAATATCTCCTCTACCTACCTACTGTCCTCTCTTCCACTCCTTCCTTTACCTCTTTAAAGGAATACTACTGTGGAAGTACTAACAATTTACAATTCAAGTGATTGAGTTCCGCTTAATCTGGGGCTGAATTCACAAAAGCGTCTTAAGAAAGAAAATATTCTTAAATGTGTGTTTAAGAACTTCATTCTTAAGAAAAAAGTTACAAGAAATTGTTATTTTTCAAATAACTTCATAAGAAAAGACTTATTCACCAACAGCTCTTGAGTGTGTGTAGATTCTGTTCTTACCTAAGAACAAATCTCAAATAAGAAAACACTGGTGAATGTCAGAATCTTTGTGAAACCTGCATAAGTGGGTTTTAAGAAGAAATTTCTTCTTCAGAACGGTTGGTGAATGAGGCCCAATGATCTTACTTTCTCTTACAAATTCTAAGAACAAGTGGTATTCTTAAAAATATTATGTTCCTAAATGTGTTCACACTTATTTTAGGCTGTAAGACTTGACAAGGTGAGCATCTAAATTTATCACTGATGCTGCCTCTGCTCCTCTTGACCATCCTTGTCCGTCACCCCTTATTTAGAGGATTTTTTTTTCCCCATTGTCTGTTTCTTCCACCATCACCTCTAGTTTGCTAAAGAAAAAAAAAATAATAATAAAATAAAAAAAAATTTGATGTCTCTCCTGCATTTTGCTCCTCTGAGCGGATTAAACTAAATAATGGAAATAACAGTAAACACAAATTTAAAATGTATCACGTGTCATTTGTGGTACATGGTAAAATGCAACTTAGCATACATAACAAAACAATGCAGATTGTCTTCAAATCTTAAGAAAATAATTAAGATCATCTTAAGACAATATTTGATAACTTTTAAAGTTTATTTGAGAATTGCATTTAATAACATTCTAATAACATTACAAACCTCTTAGTGTTTGTCTTAAGAACCTTCCCAATTTTTTTCTTAAGAAAGCTTTTGTGAATCCGGCCCCTGGTCTAAAAGCTAACCTGCTAAATGCTACAGGTAGTGCTGGATGATTTTTTGCTTTAGCAGTGCTGACAGATAACAAAAACTTTGCTACCTTAAATGGATGTCTGCTTCCGAATGTTTGGAAAGAAGTGTTCGCAATACATGCAAAAAATGACCAAACCATCCAATTTCTTTGCTATTATTTGTTCTCTGTATTGTGGTTCAAGCAAAGTGAAGATTGTAAAACAGTATTTTAGCTTAGAACAGCAGCATTCATGAAGCATGGGGTTAACAAAAGTTATTAAAGCAAACTGAAAAGCAAACTGACAAAGTAAAACCAAAACTAAAGCTTTTAATGCACTTTAAAAATTAATGAAACTAAAACCAAATGAAAATTAAAAATTTATAACAACTCTGGTTGAGACTGCTGTACAGAGTTACAGTGGTGAGGCAGTCAAAGAGAATTTAACTGCGGTAATGTTCAGTTCATTCATAATGCTATTAAACTAGTCCACCAAGCCTGGCTATCAGGACTGTTTCATCAGCCATAAATGTTGCTTTACCTTTTTTTTTTTTATTTGTAGGACAGGTTCTTGATTCAACAAAATGATGCTCATGTTGTGGTGGCACATACACATACGGTGCGTCACTATTTCTGAGCATCCTGAAGCTCAGGATATTAATCAGGGATGATTATGATGGTGAGCTCATAAACCTTCACTGCCTCCTCCATAAAACCACACTGCCCTCTGCTGGCCACTTGAAAGCACTGCTCATCAGCAGGTAAGCACAGAGAACACTGTTAACATCTGGCAAACAACTTTCAACATATAAAAAAAATTAAAAACAGTATCTACGGACTCCTTTACACTGCACCTGAAGATACAAGCCAAAGCAGCCGAAACAAGCTCAGAGATCGGTCTTTGATGAAATATGTTCATAATGAGCCATACAGCATCTGAAAGTGCAGCATGACAAATTTTTCATTTTTAATGCTCCTTTGCTGTTTCTGTAAGGAAACTCATAATGGAAGCTTTAAAGTTACAGCACATAATCCTGTCAGTAAACTGGGAAGCTGACACTTTGTCACCTCAGCTATTGTGACAAACAGCAGAGGGATTTTTTTTTCCAGATTTAGTGCACACAGCTTTATTTTTGATAAAGGTGTTTACTAAAGCTGAGGTCCCAACAGCAATTATATAAACAACAGTTTATTATCAGTGCCAGAAAGAGAGCAAAGAATATACATTTAACAGAAAATCCTCCAACACTAGAATTAATACCAAATCTATTTTTGGTATTAAATTTGTTCACTTTTGATTAAATAATTTATCTTCTGTTGAGAAAATCAAGCTCCACTTTTGCTTCAGACCTGACAAAGATTCACTCTGTTTCTGTCCAGCCTTTCCACTGAGATTACAACTCAAAGGTATGGGTTTAAAAGGATGTTTATTCCATTTAGATTTACGGGGAAAAGGTACAATGTAATTAATTGGAATTTACTGCTTAACATGTTTTCTGCTTTTTTTCTGACACTGAAAAAGGAATAATTTGCACTTAATACACATTTTCACTGGAAAATGATAAATGAAAGGGCTTTTCCATACCACTCTAAGTAAGTAAGCAAGTAAGTAAAAAATTAATAAATACATGTGGAATACATGTGCCGCTTTATTGTGCTATAATTTTCCACTGCAGAGTGACTTTCTATCCAGAAAGCCAGCAGTAGCCGACACTGACAGAAAATGTGGGGAATTCTCAAAAAGCCTTGTTAACACTTGGTATTAACATGAGTCTCGAGTGATCTGATCACAAATGTCTATACCTGGCATTTCCATGTGTCTCGAATGCATCTCCAGTGACCCTATATGATCATGCACGCCAGTCACTCGTCATTTGTCAAGTCAAAAATGTTATGCGAGACCATGCACAGGCTGTTAAAATGTCTTGATCACATGAATTTCCAATGCAAATTATCAACAAACATGAGAGCAAAAAAAAAAAAAGCTTATGTATCTGCTGTAATGTCACAACTGATCAAGGTGGTCCTTCATTGATGTTGGGGACATACTGAGACTTTTTAGTGCTCACACTACAGATGTTATGTGGTCATATGCGTCCCTGACCTTCACCGAAAGATATCTAAGTGATCAGATTACAATAAGTCTCAGAGACACAATGAACCCCCTTTCAAAGCAACATCCACTTACGCCATACGTTAATGCCAGGTGAAAACAAGACCAATCAATGGGACTTAGCAGCCCTAAGTTTAATCACAAGCTGATAAGCAATCAGTTACCTTCATGCTACATGCTAGCTCCATGAGTTTCTTAGCATTCTCTTCAGAGCGGTACCGTTTGGGCACAGGCACACGGAAGAACTTCAGCGCCCCCTCAAAATCTGCCTGCAGCAGGTCATCCTTAGAGGTCTGTGAAGAGAGATGAGATGGATTACAACCTAAAGAGGGTTACAGAAGATCAATAACCGTCATTAGTGTAATATGATGCACTGTGAGATTGTGCACTATCCATGTAGCACTGGCTCTTCTTACCTTGAGTAATGCCAGAGCCACATTAAATATGACACTGATACCCTGCATTAGAAAGGAAGAAAGATTTAAATTAAATTTAATTAATTACAGAAAAAAAAGAACTAAAACGTCAGGTGGATGTCTCACCTCACACAGCAGCAGGTCGATGATGTGAAAGACCATGTAGAGAGGGAACTTGGCTGTAAAGAGAGTGAGGAACCACTGGGAGGCGTACATGTGCGCTTCCAAGCCTATGCTTAAGAAGTGAGAGTAAAGGTCTGGAATGTATTCCTGTAGAGGAAGGAAGACAGACTGTATTGGAGCTTCTTCAACATTCATCTACACAAAACTCAAAACACAGCATTATTTGGGTCCATAATGTAGTAAATATGCATAATGAATACCACATTTTCACAGTATACTAAAGCAATCCCAATTATCCGTTAAACATCACTAACACACAGTTCCAACTGGTATGTATATATATATATATATATATATATATATATATATATATATATATATATATATATATATATATATATATATATATATTAGGGGTGCGAGAAAAAATTGATTCTTAGATGCATCGCGATGCGGACATGAACGATTCTGAATCGATTCACCAATGTCAAAAATCGATTTTCTAAATATTTAATTTATAACATAATGTTGGGGGAACGCAAAAGGCGGAACTTGGAAGTGCGGAAGTGCAGCGCTCGGACAGTCTGTGGCGGCACATAACAGAAACACACACGGATGAGTGAGAAATCCGACCGGCTCCCTCTGCATTAAAAGCCAGGTTAGGTCAGGAGTCACAACACAAATGTTAAGAAGAGCCATTTTGTCCTTTCAACAAAAATCAGACCACCTTGGCAGCCACAACATTTATGTCCAGTATGTCTCAGTATGTGCGAATGTCCTAGTATAAGTTAGGTTAAAAAATATAAATGAAAGCGCGGACTTACTCGGTTCTGCTTTAAGCTTTAGTTATAGCCGCTTTCCTCCCATTCTCTTCAAAAGAGAAGCTGACGTCATCTTTACAACTTTTGTGTTTGACAGTCTCTCATTGCAGATTTAACCTACCAGGAATCAACTGCGCTGCTTATAAATGCGAATAACGCATCGTTGCTAAGTGCCAGTTCTCAGTCGTTGCGAAAAAGGGCTTTCGCGCTATGCTGCACACAACCCGTCTCAAAGATATTTTACTGACACAGCGGATCCCCCTCTCGTCTCTACAACGAACGAGACCAAAACCGAAGTCACAAAATCACTGAATTAAACGGGTAAAACGACTGTAACAAGTGCTGCGTGGACATCTATTGCCACTGGATCTTATGTCACCCTAACAGCGCATTTTATCACAGATGAGTGGCAGCTGCGTCTCATGCGCTTCAAACAAGAGCAGTGAATGAGAGCCTTCCAGTTCACTTACCGCATCACTTCCATTTGTTTTATTAATAAAAGATATTGGAAGTAAATTCATTATAGATCATTACAAAATACTTTGCTTTAAAAGTACCAAGTCCTGACACAATGAGAAAATAGAAATCCTGTATAGAAAAAAAAGATGCATCAAGATGCATCGATAATCGTTTTATAATCGCATCGCAGCCCTCTGAATCATAATCGAATCGTGAGGTGCCTAGAGATTCCCACCCCCATATATATATATATATATATATATATATATATATATATATATATATATATATATATATATATATACACACATACATATACATACATATATATATATATATATATATATGTATATATATCTAGAACTGAACTGCTGTTAAGATAAAAAGGCATTCAGAGTGATTTGATGTGAAATGCTCTGATGTCAAGAAACTTACTTGAGTCAGAGTTGTTCACAATGGTTGTGATAGGAAATAAGCACCTGTAGAGTTTCATGCCTCTAAAAGCTCCCTCACAAAATAGCTATTATATGAAATGGTTATGCATATGTTGCCTGATGTATGAACAGTTTTAAGATATGCTTTTAGACTAAAATGTAGAGAGGTAGAGAAGTACATGCAGAGTGCTGTAAGGCAAAAACTGTATGAAAGAAAACATTTTTTGGACGTACAAATATTTTACAATTAAAACATTACATAAGAAGACGTGTAGGTTTACTGATCATTCTGGATAATAAATAAACGGCTATATTTGCATTGCAAAGACTGTGACCTCTGTTTCCTATAACAATGAAATTTCACAGTTCACATCAAACCACTCTACTTTACATCTCAAACAATTATGCTGACATTTTTGGTGGACTACCTTTTTAATATATTATACAGTGGTTTTATTTACAGATCACAAAAGATGCACATGTATATTTTACAGCGGCTTTAGAAATTCTCAATAAATAGTAATATAACGATCCAGTAATGAATCACACACCTGCATGAGTCTCTCCAGCTGAAAGAACTTGCAGTGCAGGTCTTCAAAGTTCTGTTTGAAGAGCTCCCTGAGACCGTAGTCAAACATGATCTTCACCAGAACGCTAAATGCCTGCTCCTCCGGCATCTGGACACATCCACACACACTCTTTTTAAACAGATCATCTATTCTCTCCATTATTTGAATGTTCAGTTAAGTGTTCCTTCATGGAGAAAACTACATTTCCCATAGTTCTACACTAGCAGACTGAACATGTGACATAGGACACTCACGTGTAGCAGCAGTACGGCAGCCAGAAAGGACTGACCCTGACAGTAGCCAATCTCCTCATCATACACAGAGTATGCCTGAGGAAGAAAGAGAAACACATCAGCAATATTCAGATTATTATTGAAAATCCTTTGCTTGAGATGCATAGAAGTAGTAGTGAAGATAAGACTCTACTGATCCCCAAAAGAAAATGTAATTGTTTTAGTGTGTGGCACAGTATAAAATTCTCTCACAATATGGTTCACTGTTTAAAAGATGGGATTACTTGTCATATTAACAATTTTTTGTTATTTAATTTTTGTACAATAATACATAAGAAAGAGTTTTATACAGTGAGATATTTACACTGGTGAGCTGTGGTCACAGGTGCAAGGCTGAAGCCACAGCTTCATGTTACTGACAATTTTAGACAATGATGACACAAAAACTGATCAACAAGAAGGTCTATTTACACTCCGCAAAGGAAAACAGCTCAGATCAAGCGCTGCCGCACATTGTTGCTGTCTGAACAAAATTTTGTATCTTATTGTCTTATTGTATCCAAATTGACTGAAAAAGATACTGCTCCACAGACTTCCATTAAAAGTTAAGGATGTGTAAAGTTAAATTGCAAAAACATCAGAATGAACTACAGACATTTCAGCTCAAACTTTGAGACCATAAATAGCTACACATTATATATTTGTGCAACACATTTAAATGCAATATCAGTTTAAAAAAAGTGGATTTAACTAACTGAAGCTTCCAGCAGTCTAGCAATTTCCCTAAAAACAGTCCCATTTTGGTTGACGTTTTAATAAAAATTAGAGAAAGTATCATAGAACCTACTTTTCTCCACCTAACGGACTATAACGGATTAGTTTTGACTTATTCGTAAGTTTAACCGTGTTTTGATGAAAGGTGGCTTGCTTAGCTGCAGGACTTGGTAAGATGGAACATCAGCACAACGCGAAGTAATATGTCAAATCTTAGAAAGGGGGAGTCTATTAAAAACAGCGCACTCAGGTCTGATGTAGATTTAAATATTATAAACTATAAAATAAAACATTTTTGATGTTTTATTCAATATTCTGAGTACTAGGAAGAAGCTTTTAAATGATAAATCAAATACAGTAATATCTGGAGATTTGATCATCACTTGTATGGATGTTATTTTAATTCTAACACCTTTGTTGATGCTTCATGCTTTCTCAGCCATCTCAGACTAACTCTGTTATTCTGAATAAAAATAAAATGTCACCTTTGTTTCCACAGCTATACATTAAGTATAACAGGGCTAACATATTACAGTCATTTTATATGTGTGTCGCTTTTTATTCTATTGAAAACTCTGATTCCATACTTTTGAAGAGTAAGTAAACAAAAGTAAGTAAATATGGATCTACATAAAATGTCAAATGTCAGTTATCATGCTATTGTGCTTGTTGCATAAAACAGTGCATAATGCCTCTGTAATAGCTATGAAAATAGCATAAATAAAGTAGAATTTGAAGTATTATAGCATGAGAGAGACCTTTTAACAACAGCATAGCAATAACTTTCAGTGCGATGAAACAAGACAAACCACTCACACTATTTTCTTTTATCAATGTGTCACCTAACTGTAAGTATACTCTTTATTTCTGGTCCATTCGTGCTTGACATCTTTATTAAAACACAACTCTGGCCTACTTTCTCTTGAAAACTGTGCTAATGTTTTTCATCTGAGATGACTCCAGACTGTGGCAATTACCAACTGGAGCCACATTAAACCTGCTGAACTTTAAAATTGAGCCAGGTCGAGGTCCCCAAGGCGTTGAAAGCGTACAGTGAGCTGGCTGACTTATTATGAGGTAAATAGAAGAAAATCCATAAAGCTCTGAATGATGGTGGTAAACACCCAAAGAGTAGGGCTGGTGAATTATTAAGAGATGCCTAAAGACACCTCTCAAACAATCAATTTCTCCTCCACCTCAATCCTTTACGGTCTTCAAACTAAACTCAGTGACCTAATAACTGGAATAAGTCTGAGATGCTTCAACAAATTTAAACATGGTAAAAACTGAAAAGTAAAGAGTGTTTGTTACACACAAGGGGGGTAATACATATAGTTGCACATTACAGCTGACTGTTCTATTTGTACTTAACGTTCTTTACACATTTCGCAAACAAGTTACAGTATTCATTCAAAGTCTCTCCAGTCACATTGTCTCCAACTGGGTGGTGGGAAACTGGCATTCACAAGGGCTCATCACTGCACAGACTGGCTAAATCTCAGTAGAGGAAATATTCTGCACTGTGTGAATGCTCTATTTCATGACCTAGACTAGCATTCAAAGTTTGAATCACTTTCCATATTAATTAAAATATCTGTTATTTAATACATTAATAAATTAATAGTACATTAAGGATTTAAAAGGCCTAGTTTAGCTCCACTGAAGTTCTAAGGAATGAGGCACAATATGGGGCAGCCATTCAGCACAGAGGTCATTTACATATACATCAGACTTAAAGGCACAATCACAATAACAGTCATGTTTAATCCTGACAGATAAAGAGAGCTTAGATAATGACCATGTAAAAATGAATTATGACTGGTACATAAACTCACACAAACGTCTGCTTTGGATTTGATCTTAGGTTTCTGATATTGATTTGAGTTAATTTTGAGAGTTAAGAACTGACTTGATCAGAATCCTAACAGGAAGCAGGGAGCCATGTTACATACAGCTACTGTGTATGAGTGTTTTCTCCTCACCTTACAGATTTTGTACAGTGAGTCTTGACCGTCCCCTCCTGTGTCCTTGAAGTAGTCATGTGCTGGAAATGTGCGATTAATGTCTCGAGTGATGGCACTGTCCTGAGGAGACTCCTGTACAAAGACAGAGAAAGAAAAAAATGAGCAAACAATCCAACCTTATTACACTGTTTCATCTCAAAACTGTGAACTCTCCTCCAGGCTGGAACACATCTGTATAGAGATACATCTGGAAGATTTCTACCCAAACAGGAACGCACACAGAGCTTCTGAGCCCATGGGCTGGAACACCCACAAGGGGGCGATATGTGTGTGTATGTGCCACAGGGCAGAACACACACAGCGTCTTAGCCAAGAACATGCTGGTACACACTGTTCTTACTCCCGGTGGGACATGTGGGCCGTCGGGGGGAGAAAAGAGACTAAGTGTATGAACAGTCTTACTCAAAAGTTTGAACATTCCCTGTGAAACTGTGTGTTACGTTGATTTTGTAAGTGAAAAATTTGAACTTCCTCTACAAACTTAAATGTGGATTCTTGCTGCATTTGTAGTGCACAAGTTCTATTTATTGGCTGAATAACACTGGGAAGGAAAAATAAAACAATTTTTGTACAGGCCACATTTTATGTTTTTTTCCTCTCTGATATGTTAAATTCAGCAAATGAAACAGTGATTGTGTATTAAAATGTGCAGAAGTGTGTACTCTGTAGAGGATGTGCTCTTATTTTTTAACTTGTTTTAACTTAGACCTTTGCATCCGTGTGTGATTTCTCCAAGTTTCTATGCTGGGTACTCGGCCTGCACAACATATTATTAATATTTATTTCAATATTGTTATTTGCAATACTGCTATGGCACAAGGATACAACATGCTAATTAGTTCTTTTAACCAAAGAAAAAGTTTGATAACCTACCTCTAGATTAGGATTAATCTTTTTTTATATCAAAATCACAACTTGAAGGAGCTGCAATTTTAATTACAGCCAACATCAACAGCGTTGTCTTCACGTGGGAAAGTTTAACCTAATAACACAGAACTCATAAACGGACTGTAGATGAGTTAGACTAATCAAAAGCAACAAAACACTCATGTGCTCCGTTTGTAACAACTACAACTTTGCCCTATTTTAGACGCTCATCATAAAGAAATGGTGTGGTGAAAAATCAAATTTACACTACTTTCCTCTCACCCCAGATGTAACTGACCAGCAAAGACATGTTTGGTGTCTAAAATTTGATTCTTTAGTTTAGCACTAAAGTCAAAAGGCTACCAAAACACTAGAAGTCAACAGCAACCCAATTCTCAATTTTTCATAAATACATCCCCAAAACGTACATCAGTTCACTCAAAGGCTTCCAGTAAGGTCACACATTTTTTTTTACTTGCTTTAAGAGACAGTATGACTTACTGTGAGCTATAAAAGTAAACAACACTTCTGATTTTTGAACTGAAGATACATGTTTATAAACAAAACAACAGATATCACAGATGCGTTACTTAGTTACTTAGCGTTGAGCCAAATAGTGAAGTTCTGTTCGTTTTTTCATAGTTCACAGTAAGTCATACTGTGCTCTAAACCACACTGACAAATCTGTGCAACCTTAATGAAGACCTGGATGAGCAGATTGGGAGATGTTTTGAACACGTATTTACTGAAAAGACTTGGGTGAATATTGACTTGTGTTTGCTAGTAACGATAGCCTCACTGCTCTAGTTAAAAACTCAAGAAGCAAAATATGGATACCAATCGTGCTGGCTGATTTACTACATGTGGGGAAAGTGGGAAACAAAAGCAGGTTTTCCACAACCCATTGTTTTAAGTGAAGTCCTACAATTAAACCAAAAACCTGTTTTAAACCTTCAGTTTTTAAAGAAAACACATCCGCTCAGTTAAATCTGGCATTATAATGCAGGACAACTTTTAACCACGTCTTATTACTGATTCACTAATAACACACTGCAAGCCATATTTGCAATCGTGATATATATCAATATTAAGCAATACTAGCAGCCCTTGTATGTGTATGTTTTCTCTCAAGTTTTTAATCCAGCTAAATATCACAACTGTTCACCTTGTATGTATGCTTAAGAGCCTGAGATATGAGGTGAAGGAATCATATTAGACCGTGTGTGTATGTGAGCATGTGTCTGCTAATCCCCAACGGCCCTCTCTTTCTCTGTCTCTCTCACTCTCACTCTCTCGACTGTACACGAAGAGATCTAAGCGCTCTCCTGGTTTGCACTGCTCTGCAGAACAAATAGCTTTTGTCAGTCTAAACAAAAACATGGCCTTTTTCAGCCTGCACTACAGCTGTTTGGTTAAGTAAGTGGCTTCTGAAAGAGAACCTAACAGACAACTTTGGTGCGGCTCCTGTCTCCTCTGATGTTTTTTTTCTCCTGAGGCGCTTGATCTCTCCACACTTTATTAAGCTCTTCTTCAGCGCAGGCTTTACAGCACAGATGTGTTCAGACGAAGGGCAGCGCTGGATTATGTAATTGTGGAGTCAGGATTTCAAACTCCACTTAGAAGGGTCCCAGCACTGCAAAGTAGTGCATAATATGGACAAAACACCAGCACTGCTATTATATTGCTACATGCTGCGATCACGACACATCTTGCAACGTTGTAATGGCATTATTTTGACTTGTGTTGAATTACATGAACACCTTGATTTATCAGCACATCTGAAGGAAACAATTCAACTTTTTTGAGAATAATAATAAAACTATTGAGATATAAAAGGCTTATTGTATTGTCGCTGACGCAATAAAACTTGCATGTTCATTTTTGTCATTGTTTACTTTTTTACGTAATTTGAAAACTCCAGTTGCCTTTTATATTGTGTTGAAATTTCATAAGGAACAGACCAATGGACCAAAATAGCCCACAAATGGGCCAAAAATACTTGATAAAAAGGCTTTACAATACCTTCCATTAAAAGTTAGAAATGGGTTTTTTGTTATTTAAATATTAAAAATTGGCTGGCATTATTTTGACTTGTGTTGAATTACACGAATACCTTGATTTATCATAAACAGCCATCTGGAGCTGTTTAAAGTAAATGTGAATGAACATTTTAGTATTATATTAAGTTTCAGTATTTTATTAATCAATGTTATTGACTAATATTATTTTTGGACCATGGTGATGTAATCAAAAATCAGAAGACGTTTTAGAGGTGGACACATTAATTAAAGACTATAGAAAGATATGGCATAATGAAACATGCTTAATATGACCAAGCATATTAACTAACGTACAACTAAAGTAAACAAATGTGAGAATTAAGACATGTATTTAGCATAAAGCTAAAAGTTTATGTTAGCTGTATTAGCCTCATAACTCCAATGCAAAAACAGAGAAGCAAACTTTGGATAAGAGAGACTGAAATGGGGGGATGGTGTTCAGAAAAGGGTGAGCAGTAACCACTACAGTACAGACAGAAAGAGGCTTTCGGCAATCCAATGTCACTCAGATTTCATGTTTGCCATGTGTAAATACATCCAGTGTGATTGGATTACGATCAGATCACTAAAACCATATTCGGAGATGGTCAGAGATCTGGACCTCATTCGATTCAAGGATAAACGGAAAATGTTTTCTGTATTCACACACAATTACACAAGTACACAAGTCATGCTAAAAAAGTTCTCGGGACAGCAGTGCTGCTGACCACAGCAGAAATCACAGCAAAAATCACAGAAGCTGCACGATAAAGCCGAAAGATATATATATATATATATATATATATATATATATATATATATATATATATATATTTTCATGGCCTGTTTTAGGCAGTTTGTCCTAATATTTGACAGCATATAATACACTACTAGTAGGAGATGAAAAAACATTTTTAACCAGAAGTAGAAGGGAAATGAAAGCTGAAGCAAAAATGTGTCTGTTGAGTACTGGAGTACTGACTAGCAGACAAAAAGATAAACAAAGAAATGCAAGATGGAGGATACATGAGGCTGCAGTTATCAAACCAGGTGCCTTCTCGCCCCCGAGTCCAAACCAGACTTTTCAATTTCTATGGTGATGGGGGAAAACTAGACCAAAGTGAAATGGAAATGACATATGTTTTGATGTGCTTTTTACATGGGAAAGTATCTCATCTGGTCACTTTGGGGACACAATTTAGTGAAATGGAATGGAATCTGGTCAAAGTATATCCAGACAGAGAACGAGAGAGAGAAAGATGATATAGATGGAGACAGAGAGATGAAGAAAGAGGAGAGAGGGAGAGAGGAAAAGAGACACAAACCTCCTTTCACAGCTGTCCAAAACCTGGCAATCACATGACCTGGCACCAAAAAACTAGTCTGCCTTAAGATCTCCAACAGCATCAAACTCATTTACAGTATATGTATATATATACAGGGGGTGGGTTGTACACTCTGGCAGTCATTCCATGCAATTTTCACTCTGCTTATTAGTTTCACTTAAGCTATTCATTTAGCCTAGTTATACAGTGCCCTGTTCATCTAAAAAATAAATTAATGTCTGTAAATGGACCACTGTTGGAACAGAATCTATTTTTGTTTATTAGACCTAATTACCACCACATACTGCAAATTACAAGTTATGATTAGAGACCTGTGTGCATGCGCACATACACAGAGGGCTTTCTGAGCCACTTTTCTTATCAGATAAATTGGTACTAGCTCTGTGCAAGATTTAGATGGTCACATGACCAGCGTGACTGGAAATGAAGCCTGCATTTGCAGGGGTCCGGAGATCATGTGACCCGCTAGACCTTTTCAAGTTCTCAATTATAAACAGAGAGCCAGATAAACTAAACTTTATATACCACAGAGCAGTATATCACCTACCCGCCAGTGTAGATTATACAAGAGCTATTTATAGGCACCCTCACTTTCTTTCTTTTGCTCTTTTTCTTTCTTTTAATTCGCTGTGTGTGTAAAAAGAGGGAGAGCTGGAGGGAGGAAGGAGAGAAAAGGCAACAGAGAGAGAGAAAAAGGAGGGAGAGAGAGAGAGAGGAAGAGAGAGAGGGTGAGAGAGAAAGTCTGAAGGCATGGTGCGATCACATACTTTGCCATCCTTATTGCTGATAACACATCGGGCCCAATCAAATAAGAACCTGT